AATCAATTTTCAAAACATTAAAATTAGCCCTCAAGTACAGACTTTTATCCAAAACCTGGCTCAAAACTACTGTTATACAATCAAATGTAAGGGAGTTTCTATGGGTCCCATTTTAATAATCAACAGTTTTCAAAAAATGGTGAATGCAGAACAAGCTTTGTTTTAACTCAAAGTAAAATATTAAACTTTCTTACATAACAAACAAGGGCCCTTAAAAAATGGTCATTTTAAAGCGCAAAAATGTGAATTAATAGAAGAATCATAACAAACTGTGAAAACTAAAGTAGTTCAGACAATGACATTAAAATTGTTGAATTTATTATGGAAATTATACACTGATGAAAAAGCTTTCCAGTTTTCCATGAGATTGGGGATTTTAATGACAAGACTCCAAAACAATCAACTCAACATTGTATTTTGCCAGATTTTATAACCAAAATCTTTGGGCACTTTCCGCCCAACATTCTGAAATGGTAAGTAAAAAAAATTTTCACTTGGGAATCTTAGGCCGCTATTCCCATTTATTACGTGATCCAGTGGTCCCGCGTCCCGTTGAATCCGTGTGTCTGGTGCAATGTTTGTGGGTATTATTCATAGGTACGTTATTTTCTATAACACTTTTAATTGAAAGATAGCGAACAGAGGATAATTATTTGTAGAATTTCATTTCTATATACCTCAAAAAACATTTGTAACATCAAAAAATAGGGCCCCGTAAGTCTCGTTTACTTTCACTTTCGATTTACCACTTTCCGGGACATGCGGCAAGGACTTATTTTACCGTTAGATTATAGGTAACCCGAAAGAACTCGAGGGATATAGAAGTTAAATTTGTTTCGGTCCTCTTCAGATTTGAAGGAATGGATAAGCACGGGTCCAAAAAAAGCAGGTTTTAGGTTTCAATTAAATCTGACGCCAAAAACCCGGGGAAATTTTATAGAGTTTAAAATTAAAAACTAGTTTAAAAATTTTCGGACCCAGTGGACCAATTGTTTTCGGATGTTTTGTCAAAGGTTTAGTTGAATTCTAGTTTTTTTAGCTTTTTAGGAATTGTTTTAAAAAACTTACTGATGTTTTAGAAATTAAATTCAAAACCCATTTTAACCCTTGTTGGGAAATTTAAAAAAAATGCGAGAACCCACTTTTAATTCTAGTGTATATTTAAAGTTTTTACAAAATTTCGGGAATTGGGCCACAGTCAAGTAACTTCGGATAATTTTTTTCCCTTCCATTTTTATTCTTGTTCTTTTTCCAAAATTATATATACATCGTTTAATATGGTACCTTTAGCAAATTAAGATTGATTTAAAAAATATAATGTTTGAATTAAAAACCCATTTCCCAGAATGTATAGACAAAGGAGGTATATTTGACAAGTATGAATATACAGCTGTTCCAATATGGACCATTAATCAAAACTGTTTGCACTACCTATGATCCTGAAATATCTATACATCAAAGGTAAAATACATGTAAAATAATTGATTAAATTTTTTAGTTGAAATTGGGGAAAGATAAACAATTATCAAAATAATATTAATAACCCTTGGAATTTCCCACTGCCATGATAATTGAAAGTAAATTTAAAACATTAAAAAAATAGTCATGTTTTCACCATTCAAAGAAGATCAATAATTTTTTACTTATATATATTATGTGTTGTTGTTTATCTTTAAATGTTTTATTTAAAACTTCAAAATATGAAATTTTTCTGTCAATCAATGGACCAGCTTTTAATATAAATGTAATGTAAGTATCATTTCTAGTGTCTTACACTTGTAAACAACATATTTATTGATTTTTCAATTTCTTGGCAGATAAAAAGGGAAAAGATGAAGGAGGATTTGTCCAAATTGAAAGACCTTTATTGCAACTACCATCTTCCAGTTCCTTAATTTGAGAATGATATCAGAGAAAAACCACAGTTAACCAGTGAAATATTAGTTTAATTAAAAAGCCACTGGGAATAGTCAAATGTAACTTTCCTGAAGAAGATGAATTGACATCCAGCACAAAAATCTTAATGTATAAAGATTTAGAATTTTAAATGGTAGTTTGACACTATGATCTTGTTAACATGTTAATGGGTCCAATGATAGAAACAGAGTAAAATATCCACAATTCATTGCAGTTTTTAAAGTATTAAAAACTAGATACTCTAAATTATATACCAAAGCTGATAAACACACCAGAGATAAGGTTTTTTCATGGAATCACAGTATAGTCATTATGAAACATTTATTGAAACATTAAATGACTATGAAGTAAAAGATTAGCCCAAAAATATTATATATCATCTACTACCTAATAAATTGTGAGGGTAAATCATTTATAAGCCTCCCCACAAATTTGCATTCAAAGCTTTGATTATCAAGCTGAAAAACATTTTTTTCAAATTAGAATATGAAATTTATAACTCTATGATAAATTTTGTTCATGGGTTAATTTTCAAAGGTCTTTAACATTTGTAAAAAAGGAAAATATTCTTATTTCTTGTAATCAGTAGAACATTCACGTGTTAAAGTTTACCATTGTCCAAATAACTAATAATAATTCCAAGTGCTTTTCCTGAAGATTTTTCTTCCCACTGAGAAAATCAGTGTGATATATATGCTAAGCAGGTTGCACTATAAAATTGTGTAAAAATAAAAAGTTTATTAAACTTATGAACTGTTTTTTGTTTTATACTATTTGGGCATATATTTTTTTGGCAGTTCACTTGGGATCATAAAGAGTCCATTCATCTCGTGCAAATAAGTGTTCACTGTGTAAAACTTATTTCAAAATTTCCTCACTAACAGGCAAATGGCTTAAGAATTGCTTTTTCGAATATGCAAAAAGCATTGACTTAATATTAAAATACCTATGCATTTAGTCATTTGAATTTTTGTCTGTCCTGAAATCGGAAAAGCAGACACTATCTAAATAATATTGATGAAAAGTCTTGACACTCTTCAATGGACTAACATTTACACAATATGTACATGGAACAGAAGTTAAAAGCCATTGTGTGGTGTTTTTGTTGTTGTTTTTTTTGAAACATTGACAATTTTTTTTAAACAGTTCCAATGGGTATTATTTAATGTATCAAGTGATGTAATTGTTTTGTAATCAAGTGGGCAAACCCTAAGGTTTTGCATGTATTGTAATAGATAAAATTCACTTTTGGTTCAAATGTCAAACAGGTTCAATACATTATAAAACAGGTAATTTTTGAAACCCAAAGAAGTATATGGTATTGTAATACTACCCCTCTGATTACTAAAATCTTCAAGGAATGCCCAGGGAATTGCAAAGTCTTCTCCCAATTAAAGAGAGAGAAGACCCTTGGGCTTACAAAGGGCTAGCAAGCTAGGTGTTTTGCTACAGAATACTCAACACAGATGAATTACATTTTAATTTTGTTTACTCTGGTATTACTCCTGCCCATGTACAAATGCAAATCATGGCTTTTCTAAGAGCAGTGAAAGGCTATAACTTGGAAGGAATTTTCACCATCTTGCCTCAGAAAACAAGTTTTTCTTTGAGATGAATTTTTATGATATTTAAATAATGGTTAAAGATTACATTACTTTTACAATTGCCAGTGATCATGGGTGATAATATAGAATGAAACTCAATTCAAGATAGAAACAATTTTAATGCTGAACATTTATCTTTTTACCATTCCTGTTACTTTACAAGTCTATTTATAACAAATTTATCTTAACTGTTTTGAAACTACATGATGGGCCTGGTTGAAACTGTTTTGGGCAGCCATTTGCAGAAGATAAATTATCTTTGAATAATTAAGTTAATACAAAGTTACAAATGACAGGTTAATTATTTCTAATAAAGACAGGTTATTTATTTCTAACCAAAGACAGATATTTTGTTTAAATAACATTTTTACACTGACATATATCTTTGAAGTGTCTTCAACCTTAGTTTTTTATTAGAATACAAACATTCAGTCAGACAGTTTACACAAAGACATGGAGGCTTTAAGAAGCTTTAATTCAGTCAAAATATGTAATGGACTGGCATGTCTCTACCACTATGTACTCCAAGACTGTGTATGGACATTTCCTTTCAACTATGCCTGGTGGTATCACTATTTGACTTCTAATCTGATGGTGAACACTCCAAAAAAATCAAGAGCCATGACAAGTACTCAAGATCCAACCAAGAAATCACATACCTGTATATAAAGAAAATTTATCATGAGTTGAAAGCAATAATAATTGAGTCAGCTATAAATTTCAAGCATTTTCATATTGTCATGAATAGAAAATAATGTTGAAAAGGAAGAAACACTCCTTGGTGTCCTAGTTTAACTAAAAAATATGACCCACTCACTTGAGAAAAATACTTTAAACAGTATTTAACATGAATTAACTACACATGCCATACTGTTTGTTTATTTAGCTACACTGTAATTATTTAAAAAAAAAAAGAGAACATTATATGTAATACAATAATATTTATTTTTCATTAATGTAGTTTAAGTAGCTTTAAGTATATATTTCTTACCAAAACGATTTTACAGCAGAGCATGCATGTGTATTTACATCGGATACCAGTTCACGTCTTTCATCTCACCACTGTCCTCAGTCTAAATACAGGAGCAAAATATTTCATTGAATTTTATGACAATTTAAATTGGTTATATACAGCTTGACTGTTTGTGCTTTATAAAGATAATAATTATAAATAAATAATATTTTCAGTTGGAAGAAAATATATTCAACTAAAACACACTGATAATCAAATTGAAACGTTTATCCGAAATATGCGCTGTCCGAAATTTCTAAACATTTTATACTTCTGAGAGATAATCAGGTAGCGCCATAGAAAATTGATAAAATCAAATTCGGCAGTCTGGTGTCAGATGCGAATGATGTATCAAAAAACAAATTTATTAGATTTACATGGAAATGAAAATATTACAACATTTATTGGGATAAACTGAATTTGAAATGACACACCCACCTGAAGATTATACGAAGTTGTCTTTCATTGATACTTGTTCACAAGATGAAACCATTTGCATTTCGTTACAAAACAAAAAACTCTGCCAATTTCCACATATCATTTGCTTTTCCATGTAAGTTTTACTTTCCCACCGGCATACATGTAAGTATTACCCAATATAGATAAGCAATGTTGTTGATGTTTGTTTGTACCCGGAAGTGCAAAATATCGTGAAATCTCGCAAGTCACATGACGAGACTTACATACCCTATTAGGTAACAAACATTGAATATCAGTTAGGTTTTCAAATAACATCTCTTTAGCAACCGATGACCAGATGTTGTTTTTTTAATCTGTCATTGCTGCATCATAAACTTATATGTTCTCCTACACTATTTTGGTGACTTCTTTAGTATTTTCTTTCGAAATCGATAAAGTATTTAATTTCGTTCGAGGCATTTTGTAGGGATGAGACATGTCAGTGACTGTCCGCGTCCGTAAAAAATCGCTCAACCTGCGAAACATCGCGGATGCCGTCGCGGAAGCGGATGGTAAACGGACAAAAGGAATAGATTCAACGTATTCTTTGATTAGCGAATCGGTAACGGATGCGGATGACGGACGCGGACCACTGATCACGTATAAATGGAATAGCGGCCTTAGCAATTGAATTGCATCAAAATACATGAAGAACTGAATCTTTACTCTATGAACCTGTCAGAGCATCGCCCTTTAAAAGACGAAATTTTTTATCGTTTTAAAGAGCAGAGCCTGTCTGAGGTTCAATTATCATAAAAAAATTTCTTTGGGGAATAAATAATACTGTTATTGTAAAGACTAGATTGGTCTACCAAGGGCTACACTGCTGAGGTTGCATTGTAGTAATGAGAGCACAGAAAATTAATATCAAGAGTTGCATTTTATTTATATTTAGAATGCTGTTTTCTTTAATGATAACAATATTGAAGTGTAAAGTGTCCACAAAATGGCCCCAGGAATAAATCAAGTTACCAATAATCAAGGTTAATTAAAACATATGTAAACCAATACATGTAATACATACCAGATCAAACTTATTCACATTGCTAGAATCTGCCTCGGCTACAAAGATTATTTCTTGTTTGGATTCCAAGTTTGTAAGTTTGACAAATGTTTGATGAGCAGCGAAAGCTTTGCCAGATGATTTGTCCTTCAATGTAAATTTCATGATCAACTTCTGATGGAAGTCCGCTTCGAGAGTGGTCTTTACCTTCTCTGGATACTGAATTCTGTTCCAAGACAAAATAAAAATATTTCAAGAAATGGTCGTAACTAAAACATCACGCCGTATGTATCTACAATAATTATATGTTATCATATGCTAAACTTTCTCAAGTTGGTTTGCAATTGAAATTTGTCTCATAATGACAAAACTAACCTTATTTGAATCTTTACCAAAATCATACAAAATTAACTTTACCTGGATGGTTTAGGAGCTGAACCTTGATCCTTATCAGCGACACCAATCTCGACACTTTCCACAGCTATCTGAGTAGTGACCTTGACAGTGACCGATGCCCCTGATGTACCAATGAGCCTACTGTCAGCTTTCTGGGCCTCTACACTAATAGTTACCTTATAGAAGCCACTGGAGGGTTTATTTGCCATGAAGTCCATCTCATACAGGGATCTACAGTTATAAATAGAAAAATTTCTGTCTTATGTATGCATTTAGTAGCAAGTGGGTCAAAATAAGGAATTCATGATTGCAAATTTTATCCTCTCTAGACTCTAAAATTTCACAGTTCTATGAATCAGACTTAAAATACTGAGGAGTCACGTTAAAATTGTATAAATCTAACCAGGCTATAATCTTAAGTGATTCTGGTCACCAATATAGATCAAGTCCAGCATGTACATAACATTACAATCTGACCAGGCTCTAAACCGTTGCCTAACCAACTTACAATGTTCATCTTGCTATCCACGAATAGTATTTGGACATAATAGAAGCTGGACAATCTTGTTTAAGAAATTCAGGAGGTTAACAATTGAAAAAATAGTTGCCTCTTGTTGAATGGAAAACTTTGTGCATTAGTTCTTCTCCATACATGTTTATATATAGTTTGGCTAAAAAAGAAGTCAATTTGAGTCACTTACTCTTCTTTTGTGGCCTTGAATTGTTTCTTGTTAACAACAACAGACTGGTCTCCCATATTCTTAGCACTATCAGCAGTAACTGTTAGTTTACCTAGACTGCCTCCCATTAAGTTGGTTACTCTAACCTGTCAAAGTTAAAAACATTCAAAATAGAAACTTACAACTCAACGATTCAAACTTATCAACAATTTTTTATATTTCCAGCAACCTTGTCAGTGCAAGTGGTGTTTTTAACCTGTCTATGTCACCAGTATAGAGCCGGCTGTCTGTACATTATAGCAGTCTAATCTTGCTTAACTATGCTGACTGCATTTTGGTGATAAAATCCTGTTTAACAATATCAAGTTTGAAATTCACAGCTAATCAAGTATTTTATAGAAATTAAAAGTAAAGTTCATTTAAACTACTTCTTTGGGAGTATTTTTTTCACTAGTTAATTAAATACAAACATTGACAGGTTTTCCAGCAAAACTTTCCAGAACAATTTTCAGAAAAGACAAGTTCAAAGCTCTTTGTTTTACTAATATCGCAAAAATACTACATTAATGATCGATATGGTTAAAGTTTCATGAATATCAGACAAGTAAGGTATCAGACAAATTGTTTTCTTTTTTATTCTGTGTACATAAATATATGAATAAATGTAACACTTCAGGTAAAAGTAAGGTCTTTAAATTTACACTAGTCTTTTATCAAAAATGTAAAAACCACAGACAGCGTAGCAAAAGTCAAAACATATATTCAAATATCAATAATAGATGAAATTACCTGAACTGATGGCTTCGTTGAAGTTACTGACACCTGGCTATCAAGAGTTACAGCTACTGGCACATGGAACTGTAAATATGGTAAGAATTAACTTTACTAATGGTATTTATATATATTTTGTTAATCTTTTAACAACACCAACACTTCATAGGTTATGTGGTGATCTGTGATCTAAAGTAGCAAAGAAAGACCTCAGGTTATATTCTGTGCATTTCTGAAACTATGGACTGGCTCCTTAATTGAAATATTCCTCTATCATCAATCTTGAAAGACAAAATCTTGATGTCTATTTATAGCTACTGGAATCCTATGATGAGCGAAAGAATTGTTAACATACAAATGGCATAGTTTTACCTTGTTATCAGTGAGTGTGTTGACGGCAGAGAGAAGAGCGTATGCGGATTTCAGCTGATGTACATGCTTACGGCTCATAAAGTAATTAGCAAACTTCAATACTTTATCCTGAAAAATATTAATAACAGACATCATAACAAACTTTTCATAGCAAATTTACAAACATGATTTTTAATGATTTTTCAATCCATGTACTCCAGTCATGTAAAACGAAACATTCTTATAAATTATAGGCAGCCTTAAATATCTTTATAGTCTTTAACATTCTTATGTTGGTGAAATAAAATGTTCAATATTTTATTCAAGTGAAAATACATGTATGACACTTAGCCTTGTTTACCATAAGGAGAAAATAAGCGTCTTACAAATATTGGAAAACATTTCTTACATTCATCAAGGAAACCCTGAATTATTTATCTAACTGAATACTTTAGTTGACTAACAGTCAAATCCTTTCTGATCTTTATTTTGGTTGATAAATCTTGTAAGACACTGGTGAGAGTTGCAAGAAAAACTCAATTTTTTCCATGTCAGCTACTAATAAGATACCAATGAACAGTATTACTCAATTTTTATTTATATATTTTATTGATAAATTTCTTTAATAGACCTTTCCTGCATTACACATTACTAAATTAAATTTTTTTTATTTTTTTTTTAAATGAATACATTGAAAACATAACACAAAGGACAGACGAAATATATCACTTGCTACTAAACCTATTATGTAGATAATTGTTAATTTCAGACTGACCTGAGATATAGTTGGAGCTTTGCCAACTTTTCCTGCTAGTTTATATGAGCTATCTACAACTGATGCAGAGACAAATAGTCCACCTTCAAACTGTAATACAAAATAATGTATTTACTTGAATACGTATATGAAGACAAAACATGAAAGCATGGTTGTAATTCTTTACACTCCATTCAATGTAACTATTCATCTTTTTAGTCCAGTTTTTTTTTCCAGAAAAAAAAAGCTTAGCAATATTCAGCCCGTGATTCTCCACTTTACATAAAAAAATTTCTCAAACATATAACAAACTATCTCCATGTAAGGCCTTTATATTTATATATATATATATATATATATTATATATAATATATATATATATATAATATATATATATATATATATATATATATATATATATATATATATACATTATATAAATTTAGAAATATTTACTATTTGATTGGTAAAGTTATAGGCTCAACAACAGGGAACAATCACTTTTATTAGAATACACTAATATAAAATAAATCTAAAATCTAAAATAAATACAAGACAACCATACACTGTAAATTGATTTCAGATTTTGAATAATTTTATTTCAACCTTCTACATTTCACTCTATATATAACTGCACATTTTTTACTTCACATGAGTCTTTACAAATACCTTTCTAGCTTGTTTCAGAACTGCACTGTCACAACAATCTCCCTATTCAAACAACACAAAAAATGTTATTTTTGCCAAAACAAACAGCAAATAAAAACATGAAATAACAATCTGTTTACCTGCAGATATTTGTCATCAACCTCATCAGCTTGGGCGACAACATCTTCTATCAAATCAAAATATTTGTTGAGATCTGTATTGAGCTCTGTGGCCACACGGAATGCATAGCTATGACTGTAAATGTAGAATATTATATTTGTTAAAAAAGACTGGAAAAAATAGGCAAAAATGGCAATAGAAAACTGGAACACAAAATGATTACTTTAACCATACTCATTCAACATAATCAATTTCAAAGGTAGCCTATGAAAATTTAAGAGTAGACAGTGGTATAAAAAATACTCCTGAGTAACAATCATTTTCAGTGTTAAGCAATAAGCATACAGTAAATTCTGCAATAGCAAGAGCTTATAACATGCAACAGGTGCTTACAGTGAGCACATTTTGATTTGAAATGAAAATCACATGCACAGACACATAAATTCTGGGATGTTCTCTTCACATTCCATTTTTACTTTTTGGCAAAGGCTGGGGATAATCTGTTTCCATAGATTATAAATAGAGCTGAATTTTTTTGAAGTTAGAAATTGATTTGCCAGTTTCTATTTACCTCAATGGAGAATCGTCTTTCTTTAAAGCCTCTGTGAGAGCTGCCAAGACTTTCTTTCCATCAACTGAAAAAATACAACATCAATATAAATTATACTACTGACTGATATCCAAAAAGTATACTGATATGAATCCATTAAAGAACTAGAAATCATCCCAATGTGTCATCATGCCACGGATGCCCCTGTATGAAGCCAAAATTTCAGATGTTACATGTTTAGTATTTTTTTCATTTTAAGTTCAAAGCCCCTTAAACTTTTCAATGTTAACACAAATCATTTTTATTTGTTTGGGTCGTCAGACCAAACAAATAATGGTAGCGAAATTTCAGAGTCTAATGCTGTTAATTGTAAATGCCGAAAGTAGTCCACTTTTTTGAAGCGGTTACTTCCCTTTATATGTAACACTAACGCCGAAAAATTCAGGGGAGATCACTGCGTAAAGATGGTCAAAGACAGGCACATCTATATTCAAGCAAAATAATTCCCGAATGGTCAAATATTTCTAATATTGTTTTATTGTATTTCTGATCGAAAATAAGTAAATACAAAGCGGACATTCAATCTCTGACACAGAAGTTTACGACAAACCTAACAACAAGTAGTTCTCAAAACAGCTTTAAACTAGCGATTTAAAAGAAAGAAATATTTTTATTTTGTTACAAGTATCCAACAAATTACAACGCATTCAAAGTTTAAAAATAGCGTTGGCTTATAGAATTGTCAATAAATGCACAATCACAAATTACGCGGATGAATATGATTTTATCAATGAAAATTCTATTTTTAGCGATGTCGATTACCGAATACTACACAAACCGAGTAGTGGAATATATAGATTCTACATGTCGGACTGTGTGGGCGAGAAGATTTTCGCTAAATTATTTACTTCAATTTTAAACAACAGGTTTACCCTGAACAAAATACCTCGAAATTAATAAGGATTACAAACCCGAAATGCAATGGAAGTTCTAAATTTAGAATGACTTGATGTTATTCTGACATTGTTTGTATAACTTCTCCGTGGTGCAGGGGTAACGCGCTCGCTTAGTGAGAGGTCTGGAGTTCAAATCCCAGTCGAGGAAACTTTTTTTTTTTAATTCTTTTTTAAGTGTCTTTGTTAAGGAAGTAGCCATGATATGCAAGGATAAAGTGTGGCTGTCGTAAAAAATGAACATAAACTAGAGGATGCTTTTGTAAAAAAGCGCATGTCTCCCCCACTGCTGAGAATAACTGTGAATGGAAACCGGAATGGAAATGGAGATAAGATAATGTAAATACCCGGTAGTCACTTCAATGAAGGCTGTCTATGGATGGTTTCTATTGTTAAGGTTGTATGAGAAGATGCTTCCTAAACTGTTTGTTTTTAACCAGGTATTCAATTTTGAAAATCCTGGTTATTCAATCAGCGTATGGCAGGCGGGTGTCAAACGAAATTGCACTTGATGGTCATATCATATATAGTTTCACAAATGAAATTAAATGAAATTGTGTCTGCTCCATAATTCTTCAAACCTTTAAAGGATTTTGATGATACTTGAAACAAACGTTCATATTGTCAGATTTTTTTACACTATTGAAAGACAACTCAAATTACAATGTATGTAAAATCATGATAACTGTAGTGTGTTGGGATGACTCCACTCGTTTTCACAATGAAGCCTCTCTGGTAGATACTTGAAACAAAAATTCACCACATCCAGAGAACGTGTAGAGTACATGTTTCGTATGGCTGGTTCCAAGGTCAAGGTCTTACTTGACACTTGAATGTCATATCATATATAGTTTCACAAACGAAATTAAAGGAAATTGTGTCTGCTCCATAACTCTTCAACCCTTTGAAGGATTTTGATGATACTTGAAACAAACGTTCATATTGTCAGATTTTTTACACTATTGAAAGACAACTCAAATTTCAATGTATGTCAAATCATGTTAACTGTAGTGTGTTGGGATGACTCCACTCGTTTTCACAATCAAGCCTCTCTGGTAGATATGGTCAATAAGTGTGTTGTGTGCTGTAGTAGCCTTGTTTATTATTTGTTTAAAGCGATGTCGTAACATAGTGTGGGTCAATGGATGTTCTAAATATTGAATGAGGTCAATGTTGAAGTCTCCTAGAACTATGCAGTTTTTCTGTTGGTGAATTTTCCAAGACAAGGGTAAGCTTTTGAAGGAACAAGTTAATCGGCAATGACGGAGGTTTATATACAAGGTTGATTAATAAGACCAATCATCCTATGAAGTTTGAGGGTTGTAGGTCAAAAGGAACTCTAGTTATCATCCGGAAATGGAAAATTGACCAACGGTCACTGTGACCTTGACCTTTGACCTACTGACCCCAAAAACAATAGGGATCATCTGCTCTATAAGACCAATCATCCTATGAAGTTTGAGAGGGCTGTAGGTCAAAAAGGAACTCTAGTTATCATTCCGGAAACGAGAAATTGACCAACGGTCACTGTGACCTTGACCTTTGAACTACTGACCCCAAAAAACAATAGGGATCATCTGCTCAATAAGACCAATCATCCTATGAAGTTTGAGGTCTGTAGGTCTAAAGGAACTCTAGTTATCATCCGGAAACGAGAAAATTGACCAACGGTCAGTGTGACCTTGACCTTTGACCTACTGACCCCAAAAACAATAGGGATCATCAAGCTCTATAAGACCAATCATCCTATGAAGTTTGAGGGCTGTAGGTCAAAAGGAACTCTAGTTATCGTCCGGAAACGAAGAATGGACGGACGGACTGACGGACGGACAGACTGACGGACGGACAGGGCAAAAACAATATGTCTCCCCCCGAGGTGGGGGAGACATAATGATTTTTTGATGCAACTCTAGTTATGTAGAAGTCCGTATGTATCAAACTCTGGTGCCTAGCAAAATGAATTATAATACATAAAAATAAACTTATACAGGAAAATACATACAGATATACAGTACGATTTAGATTGCAAAGATCAGAAAATACCACAGAACTTGCAGCCCTTTGATTCTTTATAATATACATGCTTATAGTAAGCTCCAGGATTATTTACATCTGTGTTAAACAACAGTTAAAGTCGTTACAAGCCCTAATTTAGATCGAATAATATGGTTTTCTTCAGGCCCTTCACATATAAATTCACCGTGGCTGAATGGTTTTCACGCTCGCTTAGGAAGCGAGAGGCCTGGAGTTCAAATCCCAGTAAAGGCAACTCATTTTTTTTTTCAAATTGTTTAAGTCAAATAAACATTGGATTGAATATCAGTGTTGCAATCAGTCTTATAGCCAATTTACTACAATTAAAACGCTGGAAAGCATTGGTGGCACTATACATATAATCTCACAACCTGTACATTTCTTACATTCTGAGACCCAAACAAATTCAGCGCCTTCTGTGCTTTGATTATACATTGTTGGAGGCACTGAAATTATTCAGTCTTAACCTTTTGTAAATTGCATATTTGTAGCCAAAATAATGGCTACATACATTAATTTTCCACAAAAGTATGAGTGCCGAAAATGAAAATTCAAAATTTTTCCAACATTCAGGAAAGATAAGTTTGTCCAAAATCATTGAACCACGACCAAATTCACACTTAAACTGCTTATTCCTAAGATGTATCTATATGTTAAATTTGAGTTGAATGCGTACAACCATTGGGGAGATAATGAACGGAAACTTAAAATTTCTGATTTTTTTTCAAAGTTCAAAAGGGATAACTTTGTCAGCTATCATCAAACCATGACCAAATTCTAAATTGACCAATGCATTCTTATGACATATCCATATCTTTAATTTGAGTTGAATATGTACAACTGTTGGGGAGATAATGAATGGGAAACTGAAAATTTTCTTTTTCCAAATTTTCCAAAGTTAAAGAGGCATAACTCTGCCAAAAATCATCGAACCATGACCAAATTCAAACTTGACCTGTATTTTCTCATGACATATCCATATGTCAAGTTTGACTTGAATGTATTGTACCGTTGGGGAGATAATGAACGGAAACTGAAAATTTCATATTATTTTCAAAGAGAAAGGGGCATTTCTCTGCCAAAAATCATTGAACCATGACAAAATTTGAACTTGACCTGCACATTCCATTGACATGTCCATATGTCAAATTTGAGTTGAATGTGTAATACTGTTGGGGAGATAATAAACAGAAACTGAAAATTTCATTTTATATTCAAAGTGAAAGGGGCATAACTCTGCAAAAAATCATTGAACCATGACCAAATTTAGACTTGACCTGCGCATTCCTTTGTTGTATCCATATGTCAAGCTTGAGTTCAATGTGTTGTACCGTTGCAGTGTAAGAAATTAGGATTTGAATCAGCTAGGCTTTTCGGACTACCAGATTGGAAAATTCACTAGCCCAAAAGACATTTCACTAGCACAATTCATTTGTTCAAAACAGTTGTTTATATTGGCTCTGAAAATACAGTAGCCTGGTCGGGCTTGTTACTGTGAAAAGTTGGTAGCCCGAGGAGAAATTTAGTAGTCAGGGGCTATAGGACTACTGCTAATTTCGAACACTGCCGTTGGGGAGATAATGAACGGAAACTGAAAATTTCATATTATTTTCAAAGTAAAAGGGGCATAACCCTGCCAAAAATCATTGAACCATGACCAAATTCGAACTTGACCTGTATTTTCTCATGACATATCCATATGTCAAGTTTGAGTTGAATGTGTTGTACCAATGGGGAGAATAATGAACGGAAACTGAAAATTTCATATTATTTTCAAAGTAAAAGGGGCATAACTCTGCCAAAAATCATCGAACCATGACCAAATTCGAACTTGACCTGTATTTTCTCATGACATATCCATATGTCAAGTTTGAGTTGAATGTGTTGTACCCATGGGGAGAATAATGAACGGAAACTGAAAATTTCATATTATTTTCAAAGTAAAAGGGGCATAACTCTGCCAAAAATCATCAAACCATGACCAAATTCGAACTTGACCTGTATTTTGTCATGACATATCTATATGGCAAATTTGAGTTGAATGTGTGCAACCGTTACTAAGATAATGAACGGAAACTGATGACGACGGAATGACGGAAGGACAGAATGAAAACAGAAATTTCTAATAACCGGGAAGAAGGCTAAACAGGAAGGTAAAACACTTGTCTTGTCATACAGTAACGAAAATTAAAAATTCAGTCCGCTCTAATCATATAAAGAAATAAACATCATTCAAACATTCATTTTACTTTTACCACTTTGGTTGTTGTTATGTTTGTTTGTTTCAATTTACGCCTTTTTCAAACAGTATTTCAGTCATATAGGTGGGTAGTTTCCTAACCAACGTTCCTGGAGAGTTACACCAGTACTAGACTACCTTCCGCCGTGCTAAACTACCAAAGCATCTCCGGGGGATCGAACCCACGCCAGAGAGGTAACTGGATTAGAAGTCATCGACTCTAACCTCTCGACCACAGAGGCGGTCTATTGTTGTTATGAATTTGTCTCTTTTTTTCCCTCTCCTTAACATAATTTCCTTATTTCTCACTTGATAATTTAGCCATTCTGTGAAAGTTGGTTGAAACTACTTGGATAATGTAGGATTTAAGCACACACCAGCATATATTCATTAATAAAACTGCTAGAGTTTTTCAGTCAGAAGACCTGATAAGAAAGTCATTATCTGAACATAAATGACATTACCTGCAAGACCTAGATTTTTCAATGCGAAGTAAGCATAATAGATATCAGCAACACTGCTGTCCTCAGCTACTGCAGCGGTGAGAAGTTTTTCAGCATTTCCTGGGGAAAGTTTACATCCAGACAAAGCTTTGGCTGCTGAGGAGGCGTGGAACCAGGATGCTACACTGTTGGCCTCTACAGATGAGGTTACAGATCTGCATACCTCCTGAAATGATTACAATAAAAAATATTCACATTTGCTTACATTTACAAAATTTCTTGATGCCTATGTCACCAACTTCAAATTACTGGCCCCTTTTCACGATGGTTTTGTATCTTGCCAGGGGAATGAAACTATCCAGCTAGCTTACTGAAGAACTGAGGTGCTACTCATTAAAGTCGGAAAGTCACTTGTGTCAGCCAGAGGGATTAAATAAAACAAAACAAAATCAAATTTCTACTATTTTTTTTTACTTTAACAATGTCAATTAAGAGATCTGATATACAAGATCAGCATACATGCATATTATATAAATTTACCTTCAAGGTTATCTGTCATAAATCAGGCATTCTTTGTATTCACATTATGCAGATAAAGCAAGAAAAGTCCAACTTATATGATGCATTTAGTGTGTCCAGAAGTCATTTAATTACCTGCTCCTTGGGAATTGTTGCTCCAAGCAGTTTAAGACCCAAGATGGAATAATGTGCATTGGCAGCATCAGTGTATGGTTGTGCTGATTCAAACACAGACCTCAATCTCTCTCTGTCCACAGTGGTCAGAAATGTGGACGGAGTCAGTGCCTGACCAACCACAGCCACAGCAAAACAGATATAACACACTGAACCTGAAATAAATGTAAGACAGTCGTGAATGTTGATGTTTTCTTCAGCTTTAACACTTAAACTTAACTAGTTAAGAGTTTAGTATAACCAGGGCCAGCAAAATCAAATGACCTATTGGCCAGATTGTCCCACAGCCTGTACGGACAAGTGAACATTTTCGACAAATTACTATATATGTAAATATCATCCGCACAATTGAAAAATGCTTCACATAAAAACGGACAAGTCAGTCAAAATCAGATTTTGCTGACCCTGTTAACAGAAAATGAAAGATTATCAAAGACTTTTTTTCACAGATAGTGGAAGGTCATTTCTCACTGACACTATATGTGAAAAATTACCCTCCTGGATTAGACCCCGTGATCTCTAATTTCCATTGCCTGCTAGTCATAATCAGAATTGATTGTAAGGCAGTATAATGTAGATGTTCCAGGATATAGCCACTATAATTTTTCTTCCCTTTGGAAATCCCAAATTATTCATCTGTCAAGCCAGTTTTATCACAGATTTAAAAATAAAGCTGTCTGTTTCACTTACAAAACCATCTGATTAGGTTCATCTTCAGTTTTATAGATAGCAATAGTAGCTTTATCGGACATGGAAAGCAATTTCGGTACTTTTTACACGTGGCAACGCCAGATATACCGGCTCATTGTTATCGACAAAATGTTCGGAAATACAGCTTATCTATGACAACAAATTTGAGCATTGCTAACATTATTGTTAGCTCAGAACTTTGCAATGAATAACACATGGAAAAACAGGTGAAAAAGGCATTGTCAACTGTTTTAAATAACTGAGTTTCAAATACTCTACCTTTCGCCATTTTAGATAGGTCACTTCCGGGGACGTGTGACATCCGGGCAACTTGAAATCCGCTACGTAATAATTTTGTTTTGTTAAAAATCTAATAAGGCCGGAACACACTAATAGAGTTACCGTCTAAATTGAGAGAAGAAAGGATGTCAAGCATTTCTTTTACATTTCTATTTTTTTTATATTAACCGCACTCACTTTGTCTTGAAGTACACTTGTAAATGGTTTTCTCTCCAATTTATATAATCATAAGAAAACAATTCTGGTACCAGTCTCTGGATCAATGAAAACAGAGAGTTAAATTTGGTCTGTTCATAACAGCTAGACAATTTATTAAAGTGCAACATCTACTCCCCCTCCGCCCCACCCCTCCTCCCACAGCACCTAGTTGAGTTTGCATTTCTTCTACTTCTACTTCTATGATGAACTCGTCTGTAAATCCGCTGTGCAGACATCAGCGACGAGTGGTGATGTGAATTGTGCTCCATAAAACGTACGTGGGCTAAAAACCTGTCCCCCATGTGCGGCACCAGGCGTTCGAGTTAAAATAATGTGAAAACGTAGTGTGAAGTAAAATCCAAACATGTTTGTACACTATACACGATGTTTAATAATTTACACAAATACGTAAGACTGGACAGCAGTTTTAAAACTGTCCAGGTTGTCCACAGTTGTGATGTTAGCTGGTAGGTTGTTCTTCTTGGTTTGTGTATCTTGTTGATAGTTGTGGGTGGTATTCAACTGGTACAGCCACCAATTACTTATGGTTGTACTTATTTTTTAATTGACACACTGCGCAAAATCGCAATATTTAGGTTTTCATCACACTAAAATTGTACATCTATGATACAATTTTAAAAATATACAAAAGGGTGTGATTAAACTTATTAAAATGGTGTGCCATTCTTTAAAACTGGATTATTTTTTGAATTTTCATTAACATGTTGTATATCTACATTTTACATTACATTTTAATATACTTATATTCGAGTAACCTTTTCAAGGTCGTCTATAATTGTTTGAGGATAAGTAAAATAATACCACGGATGTAATATAAATCCGTGATAATACTAAGTACTATGCATATAGCTCAAGTCTAAAACCCCTTAATGTAAAATAACTCAAAGTAACCGTTTGCTACTGTCACAGGATGATAAATTGAGCCTTTGTTTTCATATTAAGAAAGATTAATAACAATGCCAAAAAATTAAGGTAGGCTGAAGCCTAACTAGAATTATCGCTGAATGCGATTCATACCCCCACCAATGTCCTTGACAGAAATGGTTAAGAGAATAACTTTAGCGGCACAAATACATAGACATAAAAAGTGAAAAAAAAGACGGGTAATCGTATAGGACTTTACACCACCTGGATGTTTCACCCCTGGACGTTTCACCCTCAAAACCCTGGTCTTTTCACCTCCACTTTTTAAATTTGATAAATATATGAAATAAATATAGTAGTATACATATATATTGTCAAATCATGTTCGAAAAAGTTACAAATAACCTTTCATTTTCCCAATTGTACTAAAACAAATAAAAGTAGTGAAGTTAAGAAAATAGCATAATTATGTCAAAATGTAATTAAGAGTGGAAAACCTTTGCATATTGAGCTTACTTCTGACCCTCTATATGTTATATAGTTTCAAGTGAATATCAGATTCTGTTCTAGTTTCAGAAACATTTAAGTATTAATGGTTATATCAGAACATTTTCTAAGCCTAAAAGGGGTATAACTTGTGTCATAATTCAATGGAATTGTATAATTTTTCGTCAACTGAGCTTGCTTGTAACCATTCATATAAATTTTAAGTTTCAAGTAAATATCTGTTCTGGTTTAAGAAATATTATAGTAAATAAATTTAAAGACATAAAGATGGACTTAACTTTGTCAAAATGCAATACAAAGTTATTCCCCCACTTTTTCAGTTTTGAAACTTGACCTGCATATCTTACTTGCGACACTTCGTATATATTTGAAGTTTCAAATGTTATCTGTTCTAGTTTTAGAAATATTCAAGTACATGTTAAAATTTAAGAACATTTTCTAAGTCAATTTTTGACCTTCAAGTTTGGCCTTGACCTTAAGCTGGCACAAGGGTAAGATATGTTCTACACATTGCCCTGTTGGGGTGAACATTTGAGTCAAGTTTGAAGAAAATCCTTCCATTAGTATAGAATTTATAGAGCGGACACGACATATTGTCTAGTATTGATTGTACGTAAATTTAAAGACTTTAAAAGGGAGCATAACTTTGTCAAAATGCAATACAGAGTATAAAACTTGACCTGCATATCTTAATTGTGGCACTACATTTATATTTTAAGTTTCAAGCAAATACCTGTGCTAGTTTCAAAAATATTCAAGTATATGTTAAGATATAAGAACATTTCTAAGTCATTTTTTTTTTACCTTCAAGTGTGACCTTGACCTTAAGCCGACACAAAGGTAACATGGGTTCTGCACATAACCTTGTTGAGGTGAACATTTGAGTAAAGTTTGAAGAAAATTCTTCCATTAGTATCCCTGTAAACATGCAGTGGTTGGGCCAACCACGGAAAATCGTCAAAGGAAAATCGTTGTTGGGCCATGGTTGGCCCAACACTAGTTAACATGTACTATAAATGCAGTTGTTGGCCCAACTTCGAACCAACCATAAGTTAACGCCAGCGACATTTCTGCATTGGCCCAATAACGATAAATATGTACTTTAAAACAGATGTTGGGCCAACGTTTGACCAACGATACATTTCCGTCAAATATATTACTGCACCTGACCCAAATTTTTTTTTTTAAACACATATAGATACATGTAGATATTTTACTGTATATAAACAGTACACTACAATGAGTAAAGACTAAAATTTATAAAGTTTTTTTTTGAAGCCATGTTTCAATATTGTCACATTCAAGAAATACTCATATAAATTAAATCAGAAATGTACGTAAGAAATAATTACTTTGTGAGTCTAGAAATGACCAAAGCCCAGGCTATATGCAGTAGTAGGGGATGTATCTATATAGATCTATAAAAATCTTGAAGATCTGATGTATAATCTAAGGCAATTATACATGTGCTGAAACAGATTAACCATCCTAAATGTTTACAATAAACCTCCGGAATCTTCCACTCTAAACTCTTATTAACCTCTGTTTATGTAATCAATGAATGGAAATAGGATCATTTTGGCACTACCCATCCGTTCCCTCTGCGTGGACGTGTTTACAGATATATTTAAATAAATTTGAATTAGACTGCAATTTCTCAACACTGAAAAATGTAAGTAGATCTAGAGTTTTTTTTACTTTAATCTTTAAAATAAACCCTTCTAATATATTAATGTATTTAAACATGCACGGAATTAGTGTTTTAAAACCTGTTATACTTTCCACGTGACCAGGTCATGTGATTAATACAAAATGGCGGATTGGTAATTGTTTTCAGGTAAACAAGCCAGAATGAATTTGATTTTTGTAATGAAATTAAAACCATTTAATTATATCAGTGTTAATCAGCTTAAAATATGATATGTGCATAATTTTTACATCTGAATTTATTGTGATAACTGCAAAAAATCTTTGATTAAGTTGCAAGTTAGTACTACAATTAGCACTGTTAAGCTCATACAATCTGCTCTGAGTAATAAATAGGTGATTTATATTAATATATTTGGTAGTGGTATATACGAAACTTTGTGTAATTTTAATTTAAAGTGTAACTTCGCATTAAACACAAATTACTTTACCCGACTGCAAAATTGTTTTTATTTCATTTCAGACAGCAAATTTATGTCTAATTGGAGGAGATAGTGTGGAGAGCAATGTTCGCCGTGTTATGTCTCACACTTTGTCTCAGGAAGTTGCCCTAGAATACAACTGGGTTGGAAAAGGCTCGAAAAACCATTCGAAAAACTTAGACTTAAAACAGTCATATTAGGTTTGTATTTTTACTTTTTCAAAGTTGATTTCACCGGTGCTAAAAATTTATTTTACACCGTGGGTGTAAGATATGACTCTTGTGTTGTAAATGATCATCATGACTCTTTTTGCATTTTGACAGAATTATGCCTCTTTTTAACTTGAAAGTTTTAGGTTAAAATTTTTAATTATGTCAAATATCTCTGTTACTATTAAATCTATTGACTTGTAATTTAAAATATTGCTTTACTATCAAAGTCTTATCCCTTAGCTCTGTTTGCAGTTTTTCAGTTTTATTTGCCTTTAAACTAGTAAATTCTAATTAGTAGTGTATATTTAAATAAAATCAGTAAACTGTATAAATTTCAGATGCTGTAAGAGGAAGTAGACAGGGGTCTACTCATAAAGAAATCGAGAAGACAATGAAGGAGTGGCTAAGATATGCCAAGGATAGGGGAGGCGGGCAGAGGAAGAGACTGACTAAAAAGTTGCAACAACAAAGAGAAGAAAATGAAAATGATATGTGAACAACATTTAGAAATAAATTGTAGTAATTAGAATATTTTATGTTCTTTTATTTTACGGTCTCAGACATGCTGTTTTTGGTCTTGTCATCTGAGGGCCAGCGTTAGTAGTAAGAAACAAGTAATTGGTCCAATGGAGGGCCAACAATAAGAGTAGGAAACAAAGTGATAGGCCAACTGAGAGCCAACTTAGATAGTAGAAAATAAGGCATTGGGCCAACGAAGGGCCAATGTTTATTATAGGAAACACAGTCAGTGGGCCAACGGGGGGCCAACAATAAGAAGGGAAAATCAGTTGTTTGGCCAACAGAGGCAACGATAGGAAGGAAAACCAGTCTTGGCCAATGGAGGGCCAACGATAAGGTAGGAAAGCAGTCGTTGGGCCAACCATATACCAACCGTTGGCCCAACGTTTGCCCCAATTAGCAAATTGACATTGGGCCAACGTTGGCATTATGTGTTGGGCCAACAAAGCAAATGTAATTGGCCCAACGTTGGGCCAACTACTGTCTGCTATCTGGGATAGGATTTATAGAGCGGACACGATATATTGTCTAATATTTGATTGCTTAAAAGGGAGCATAACTTTGTCAAAATGCAATACAGAGTTATGAAACTTGGCCTTCATATCTTAATTGTGGCACTACATATATATTTTAAGTTTCAAGCAAATACTGTGTGCTAGTTTCAAAAATATTTAAATACATGTTAAAATTTAAGAATACTTTCTAAGTCAATTTTTGACCTTCAAGTGTGACCTTGACCTTAAGCCGCAAAGGGTAACATGGGTTCTGCACATAACCTCGTTGAAGTGAACATTTGAGCCAAGATTGAAGAAAAACTTTCAATAAGTGAAGAACTTACAGAGCGAACATGACATACTGTCTAATATTTGATTGTTTGATATTTGACCTTCAATTGTGACCTTGACCTGACACATTGTCAACATGGGTTCTGCACATCCCCTTGTTGAGGTGAACATTTGAGCCAAGTTGAAGAAAATCCTTCAATTGGTATAGGATTTTTAGAGCGGACATGATAATGGAGACGGACGGACGGACCGACACGACAAAGCGAATCCATTATAGCCCCACCCACATTTTGTGTTTGGGGCATAATCAATATAAGACAACCAAAACATAATATTTTCATGTGCCTTGATAGCGCTAGCCATTACCTAGCGCAATAGCAGAGCATAGGTGTCAGTGTTATATTCGTACATTTACATGTTCTAAATCACGATTATGTACAATTACATCTGAGCGTTTTTAAATATCTTTCTTATTTTCAAATAGTTTCAAATGCGTGGGATAGAATATTTTTGTACACATGTTGATATGCTATGGTGGCATATTTCTGCCACCAGATAACCATATAACTAACTAGTTGATTAAGAGGTTAACATTTATTTATTTCCCGTTATGATTTTTTATGTATTGAAAAAAAACTAGTTACGTAACTAGTTAACCACATAACTAACTAGTTAATTAAGAGGTTAACTAGGTACGTAACTAGTTAACATCTTAATTAACTAGTTAGTTATATGGTTATCTGGTGGCAGAAATATGCCACCATAATATGCACTTTTGTAAAAAGTTTTTAAGAAAACGTCAAACATATTAAAAATATAATGATAAAAGTGTGCTTATTATATTGATCCATATAACAATATTAGAATTATAAATATTATTTATATATTTTGTAATGGCAAAATAATAATTTGATTTTTAAAATGAAATAAACAAGAACCGGTTGAACCGGGTGATGCTCCGCGAGAAGGTTTTGGACACAGGAAAGTATAAAAAATGAACAAAGGGAAAAAAAACTCCAAAATTAGGCAAGGTAGATATATGTTCTTTTGCACTGCACTTTTTTCAATGAGATCTATCTATCTATAACGTTTCTGATGATATCTCTTATAGTTTCAGAGTTATGTCCCGGGTAAAATTCAAAGTGTAAAAATGAACAAAGGGCAATAACTCCGAAATTAGACAAGGCTTTGTTTAGGTTCTTTAAGCATTGCAGTTCTATCCAATGATATCTTGCTACCTAAAAGTTTCATATTGATATATCTAATAGTTTTAGAGTTATGTCCGGACAAAAGTCAAAAAGTAAAAATAAACAAAGGGCAATAACTTCAAAATAAGGCAAGGTAGAGTAATGATTCTTAAGCACTGCACTTCTACCCAATGAGACCTATCTATCTACAAAGTTTCATGTTGATATCTCTTATAATTTTAGAGTAATGTCCCGGACAAAGTTCAAAGTGTCAAAATGAACAAAGGGCAATAACTCCAAAAGTAGGCAAGACAGTGTAACAGTTCTTGTTTTCTGCAAACCTACTTAATGAGATCTAATTACCTACAAAGTTTCATCTTGATACCTCTTATAGTTTAGAGTTATGTCCTGGACAAAGTTCAAAGTGTGAAAATAACAAAGGGGAACAATTCAAAATTAGGCAAGGCAGAGTTACGGTTTTTGTGCACTGCACACCTACTCAATGATATCTATCTGACTACAAAGTTTCATGTTGATACCTCTTATAGTTTTAGAGTTATGTCCTGGACAAAGTTCAAAGTGTAAAAATAAACAAAGGGGAATAATTCAAAAATAAGGCAAGGCAGAGTTACGGTTCTTGTGCACTGCACACCTACTCAATGAGATCTATCTACCTACAAAGTTTCATGTTGATGCCGCCTATAGTTTTAGAGTAATGTCCTTGACAAAGTTCAAAGTATAAAATAAACAAAGAGGAATAATTCAAAAATTAGGCAAGGCAGAGTTACGGTTATTGTGCACTGCACACCTACTTAATGAGATCTATCTACCTACAAAGTTTCATGTTGATACCTCTTATACATTTAGAGTTATATCCCGGACAAAGTTCAAAGTGTAAAAATGAACAAAGGGGGATTATTCAAAATTTAGGCAAGGCAGAGTTACGGTTCTTGTGCACTGCACACCTACCAAATGAGATCTATCTACCTACAAAGTTTCATGTTGATACCTCTTATAGTTTTAGAGTTATGTCCCGGACAAAGTTCAAAGTATAAAATAAACAAAGGGGGATAATTCAAAAATTAGGCAAGGCAGAGTTACGGTTTTGTGCACTGCACACCTACTCAATGAGATCTATCTACCTACAAAGTTTCATGTTGATACCTCTTGTTGTTTCAAAGTTATGTCCCGAACAAGTAAAGCGGACGGACGGACGGAAAGACGGACGGACGGACATGGCGGCGACTATATGCTCCCCCGAAATTTTTCGGGGAGCATAAAAAATGAAAAGGAAGGAAGGAAGGAAGGAAGGAAGGAAGGAAGGAACTAAAAATTTAGAAGAATGCAAGAACAAAATATATTCAAACAAGACAAAGTAAATAAAAAAGGGAGAAAAACTATAACAACATCATCATAATAACATGGCAGAGCGTAGGGTTCGAACCTACGAGTTCGAATTATTCAAGTTACAGTGACGTTTATTTACCACCTGAGTCATTGCGATGGTGCACGCTCTTATTAGAATTGAACTATCTGTATAAATAGTTATTGACACTTTCAATCTCGATAATATGCAGAACTTATCCTTAAAATGGACTTTTCCAAGTACCGTTAAGCCCAAATTATCATCCCAGGACAAAACCTTCTAAGAAATGTCCGACCTCTTCACATAGATTTGTGTACAGCTATTTAAACGCTTGCATGGACCACGTCTCCACGGCAATTAATTGAGCCACTTTTGCAAGCGTTTCTTTACTTTATGATGGTGAAAATGTTATCTTTTTAAACTTTTAATTAGTATGTCACTATATCTTAACCTTTACCTCATATAGACACGGCTTTTCGCTCCCCTTTTTAGGCCTCAACAGTGAAAAAATGCCCTATTAGACCCCAAACACTGTTTTTTCGTTCACTTTTTCGGCGCCGCCCCCCTATCAAAAAAAAAGTATATCAAGGGTTGCCAGATAGGGGCTGTGCTCTTTCTGTTTTCTGGATTTTTAAAGGGGCGGCAGCCCTCTCATCTCAAGAAAATTTTTGAACAAGTGACAGGCTAATTATGGCTCAGGTTGATCGTAAGGTTACCTGTAAGCAACGCTGGAAAGCCTTTTACTCTATCTCAATCCAATGAGAAGTTGCAGCACTTTGAAATCAGTTTTGATGGGAAAAAATACAAAATAGTGATTTTGGCAATTTTGAGACGTCCCCTATTGCCATGGTACAGGAATTAAAGATTGAGCATGCTATTACAGACGCTTTGGTCCAGTCAACATTTTGTGCCAAAGCTTCTCAGTACTGAAGCATTTTTTCATAGTTTCATAACAGGTTTGAACTTGTAACAGAAGGCTTTTCAATGAAAACGACCATTTTTTCACAATATGCTCATGCAGTTAAAGGGTTAAATAAAGGGAAAAATACTATATAGATTTAACAAAGTCGAGATATCGTGTATATTATGTTACGACTACTCAATGCGCATTTCAAATACATGTAGTATACTAGCTTCTCGATTTTAAACATCAAAAATATATTTTTGATGACAAGGAAGTTTTTAAAAGTATCAGGTAAACATTTTAAGTGGTTGAAAGGATAACGATAGAAAATAAACTATTATAGATTGCTCTCCTACACAAAGTACGTGAATTTTACATAAATTAATGTGTTGCAACAAATTATAGTTTGGTTAGATTTTAGAATACCATTACATTACCTTGTTGACATTATGTAAAAACATTTTAATTGACTTTCCCCTGTCTTCATTCGTTTATGATTGAAAATTAATCTTTAAATTCTTACTTTTATCATAATGGATATAACGTGTACCTTCATACAGGTATGATTATTAAAGCAGCATGCCTCCCAAATTAATGCTAATTTTCATGAAAATTTTGAATATATATTTGAAAGTTAAGTATTGTGAAGTGAACAAAGAACGTTATTAAAATTTTACACAGTGCAAACGGCTCCACGTATAGTACACCAAAAAGACATCAAAAATTTAAGAATTGCCTTTACTCGTTGAAATCAGTCGTTGATCGCAAATAACATTT